CAGACATGACTGAGTGACTGAACTGAACTGACTCTTGGAAGGACTGATGCTGAAGCTGAAGCTCCAATGCTTTGGCCACCTGATGCAAAGAGCTGATTCATTGGAAAAGACTCTGATCCTGAGAAAGATTGAGGGCAGGAAAAGAGGGGGACCACAGAGGACAAGATAGTTGGATGGCATCATTGACTCAACAGACACAAGTTTTGAGTAAACTACTGGAGGTAGTGAAGGACAAGGAAGCCCGGTGTGCTGCAGTCCATGGGGTCGTAAAGAGTAAGACATGACTTAGCAACTGGACAAGAACAGCAAAAGCTCAGTAGGTTAAAGACACAACTTCATTTCACCTCCAAGCCCTACTGCCCCAGAAAGGTAGTGCGAGGTTGTCTCCAACTCTTGTGATCTCATGAACCGTAGCCTGCCAGGCTCCATTGTCCATGGGATTCTCCAGGCAAGAATACTGGAGTGGGTTGCCATTTCTTCTCCAGGGAAGCTTCCAACTCAGGAACTGAACCCAGGCCTCCCGCATTGCAGGCAGATGCTTTACTGACTGAGCTACATGGGAAGCCTCCAAGAGAAGAGTAGAAACATAGAGGTGTGTGACCTCTATGGCTTTTTTTGCATTCACACCTCGAATTGTAACTGCTTTCCAGACGCCTGCTGGTTTTCACTCTTAAAACTGTCAGCACAGTTTCTCCTTTTTTTAATTTCTAAAACTAAAATGTCTAATTTGTTCCCTCTGAGCTAGGGGGAGTTTCCATAAAATGAAAATGTACTTTCCAGAAGAATTCTGTCTTCCCCTTAACACATAATGGGGAATACCTTGCCAAAAGAGCACCCATTTTCCATGCTTCCACAGGGGGATGACTGTGTCTCCTCCTTCCCAACTACCCCTACCCAACCCCCCACCCCCCGCCCTGAGTCACTGCACCAATGTGTTGATAATCCACCTAAGAACATTCACAGTCTGAGGTAAACTTCAAGGAAGACTGACTAACCTATGTTTCCAGACCGCAACCACCTCTTTCTGTCTCCCCTTTAAACCCTCTTTTTCTTACTCTGGTTTCTACTGTGGTTGTTTACTTGTCTTGTAAATTGTTGTTTTGTAGGTCTGCAATTAACATGTAACTTCATGTCACTTATTGCCTTAGAGTTTAGAAGGAATGTACTTCCCCCCCCCAACTCTTTAATATGTCTAAGTCACTCTCATGCAACTCAAGTTTCTTGTTTTCATGTCTCCATCACTATTCTTTCAAAATTACATTCCCTATCCCTTTCTTTGATCTGACCAATTCTTTTATTACTCTCTGAATTTGTCTATGTCATGACAAAGGTGAGTAACTCCTCAAGCACCATCGACCAGGCTACATTACTTCATCACACGTGTTCCCTTGATGTGCCTCGAAATAAAGATGTATCTGAAACTAACAATAAACTGTACGGAGTAGTCATTGTATAAACAGCACTATAAAGCATATTCTGAAAGGAGAACCAATAGAAAAGAATACTCAGTTCCTCAATTAAGTTTGCAATCCAGTTAGGCACTGAGGGGACTGATCAGAGCAGGATCCTGGGGGGAAAGTTTTAAGCCAGTTTCAAAGGAGATTAAAACTGGATGGAGTTCAAATCGTACACATTTTCCCGACCTTTGAGAATTTACTTGCATACAATGTAAAGGGTAAGAGAGCACTGCTGCTGCTGCTGCTAAGTCGCTTCAGTCGTGTCCAACCCTGTGCGACCCCATAGACGACAGCCCACCAGGCTCCCCCGTCCCTGGGATTCTCCAGGCAAGAACACTGGAGTGGGTTGCCATTTCCTTCTCCAATGCATGAAAGTGAAAAGTGAAAGTGAAGTCGCTCAGTCGTGTCCGACTNTAGTATTTCAAATGCCAAAGAATAAAAAAATACAGAATACAGACAGTCCTGTTTCTGTCTTATGAAATAACCCTTTAGCTAGGGCAGCTTTCAAATCATACTGGTGGTTTAGTCACTAAATCGTGTTAGACTCTTGCCACCCCATGGACTGTAGCCCACCAGGCTCCTCTCTCCATGGGATTCTCCAGGCAAGGATACTGGAGTGGGTTGCCATTTCATCCTCCAGCGGATCTTCCCAACCCAGGAGTCGAACCCAGGTCTCCTGCATTGCAGGCAGATTCTTTACTGACTGAGCTACAAGGGAAGCCCCTCAAATCATATTATTTGAATTAAAATAATCAATAAGTGAGGTCTAAAGAAAGCAGTTTCATTTTAAAACTTTCTCACCCATGGGCCCTGGGTGACAGCACTGGAGAGTAGCAGCGGGTCTCTCTCCGTGTGTACCTTCCACCCTCCCAGCTAAGAAGAGGCATTGGGAATCACGGGCCTCGTCTAGGGACATGGAGTTCTCAGAGCTATTAAGTACAGGAGAGAGCAAAAGTCAAAGCCAATTCGGTGTACTCCAGAGCACGTGAATGGAGAGAACAGGTGCCTGAAGAAAACAGAGTGAACGCATCAGCCACATCACCTCCACGGAGGGACAAACCCTCTGCACTCATCATGTCCATCAGTCACAGAGCAAACCAGCCAGAAGCCTCTCACTTCCTCTGCAAGGGCAGCTGACAGACAGACAGACTGCTGTCTAGTAACTAGAAGCAAGGCGTGTTACACGAAAGAACTGCTCATTTTTCAAAAGTAGTGAAGCACTAAAGTTTGAGAAATTGACACAGTTTAGCACAAAGTTAAGTATGTATCTTTGATCCACTCAGCTTCAATGGAAGCTTCTAAAACAAATCTTGACATCAGACTTATGTATGGTATAAATAGGATAACTTAAATTTCTCACCTCATCATTGGATGATTCTGGCATGAGATGGTATTAAATAGCCATAGGAAAATTACATGTGTAAAAGTCTAGATTTTATCATAGTAGAGAGAACATGAGGTACAAAGTCAGACCTCTTGTTCAAATCATGACTCTTACCCTTTATCAATTTTTGACCTAAAGCAAGTTAATTTCTACAAATGTCACTTTCCCATAAGTCAAATATGAATTAATAAAAATGACTTTAAAGGGTCATTATGAGAATTGCCTAAGATAGTACAGTAAAATAACAGGTGCACAGTGCATAGGTTCTAGTTTCCCACATCCTTCTTATGGCCGTTATTGCAGGCTTTATGAAACAGACACATACCATCTCAGAAAAGAACCCGTCCTCAAGTAAACTAACGACAAACAGCCAATGACTCCAAGAGTAAATGATGTCACTACTGAGTGCTTGACCTCAACTGCCTCCCAATTAATTTATTGCATTTTCTAGTTTCTAGATACTTCACTGGCAACAAGGAAATGAGAAGGTATGAAATTTAAATTAGTCTGTTTTGCTTATGAGTTTCCAGGATATAACATCAGGTGTTTTAAAATTATCCAGTTCATCAGGTTTTCCATATACTATTGGTTCAAAGCTCAAGAAAACTGGAAAATCACTATAATTTTATACACACAGATGAATATCTACCTTATATTATTCCATATGAAATCTTAATACACAGAGCAATGTTGTATGTATTGACAGATACTTTTTTGTTCAGGTTTTCTTGGGGATTATCAATGTAACAGAGAATTCAATAATATAAACTCCGGAGATAAGAACTAGAAAAATCTAACATTATCTCAAATTACAACTTAGTCATGACAAAAAAACTGCTGCAAGAATAATGAGATATTTTGAGGGCACAAATTTTTCTGATTATTTCTTTTTATTTCTCTTCACTGTATTCATGCTTGGCTAATCACTACACTTAGATAGCATCACTGACTCAATGGACATAAATTTAAGCAAACTCCAGGAGATAGAGGAGGACAGGGAAGCCTGGCGTGCTGCAGTCCATGGGGTCACAAACAGTTGGACACGACTTAGTGACTGAACAACTACAAGGTAATGAACTTCCAGCTGAGTCCACCAGACCTCTCCAAGTACCCCAGTCTAACAGAGGTCTCTGCTCTTAAAAAAAAAAAAAAAAAAAGAAGCTGGGAAAACCTGTTTTATGACATTATTCTTAAGAGTATCTTTACTCTTATCATAGTGACCTGTCTAGCTATATTTCTGAAAAGCACCTAAGGATTTATAAAATGAAATTCTCAACCAATTTATATCTCCATTTCTCCTCCAGGAGGAGCATACTTCCATTTATGCTGCAGGGCTGCTTCTTTTGATAAGGGGAGTCATTTTATACTTGGAAAAGTTCTCAAAAATCATAAGATTTTTTGATTTTTACAGAGAAGAACACCACATCCCAGAGAGTATGCCATCACTAACCAGAAATTGGCATGGGCCTGGAACCTGAGAAGGAGCCATCTCATTTTCTACTTAGACCCCCCTCCAGAGAACATGCTTCATGCTTGCAATTTCTAATACTAAGTTATTTTCAAATAATAGTTGGAAGAATATATAAACAAATTTTAAAAATGATTTTACATCCAAAAGAACAACTGCTAACCACAATTACTATTCCATACAAATGTTTCTTATTTTTGCAGGAAGTGCATTTTGGTGTAAGAAAAAGAAAAGGTTAGATTTGACTTCTTTAGTAACAGAATAAGAAAGTTTCTATGTAAATTAAACAGACACTAACTAATGTTTCATTCACCAAATCAACTTGAGAATATAATTTGATTTTCAAAAAGCTCTGGGCATTTAAAAAAAAATCATATCCATATGACTATTAGTTCAACCAGGCACATTTCCACATGACACCTGAATGGTCACTGTTTCCTAGTGGAGCCAGCAGTTGTGGCCCAGCTCTCTGGCCGGATGTGGAATGATATGGGTTCTGAGGAGCTTGTGCCCAGAGCCACTTCAAGGCTGATTTCCTTGGCCAAGTCTGAATGGAAGAAAACACCCACCCACCTGCCTGAAGTCCCCTGCAGGCTGAGAAACACGGGTGGCCTAGCTGGCTGGGCAAATGGAAGATAAGGCAGACAAACATGAGAGAAAAGGATCCCACAGCCTAATTAAGTCTTCTTACCTGCTGAGCAGCATCTGAACATTTTTTCGGAGTTTCTAAAACAGCAGATTGAGAGTCTGGGTTGAAAAGGAAGAAGACAGGCAATATGTTAAAGAGCAGATTTTCCCATTTCTTTGACCAGAAAATGAAACTACAATATACCTTCAACCACAATAAGCACCCAAACACCCAGGCTACTTTCCAGCTATACTTCCATGCTATAAGGACATGACCACTTTTCAGTACATGTAACACACAAAAGGACATGCTTATGTCATTAGGTATCTTTAAAATTAGATCAGCACTATGCCCTTCTTTACACATCAGTCATGATTACTTATCTCAATAGCTAGTTTCTATTTTGTGCCAGGAAGTATCTGCTAAGACAGTCACTGCTCATATTATTCTCTTAAGTCTGTACAGTGATGGAAGCCAACTCCCTAGCCTGGAAGGACAGGGTCCTGGGCACCTTATCTGACTGTTGACGGTTGACCTTGCACTCTCAACAAGAGACGATGTGCCCTTGCTAAGAGGCACTGATATGGTCATCTGAGACAGAATCTAGGGGACTGCAGCTTCTTCACGCTAGAAAACCTAAGGGATAACCAAGGCTACGTTTCCTTCTGTTTTTTAAGCTAGGGGATGCTTTCTGTGAAGCTCACATGGCAGTTACAAAAATAAAGACATAAGAGAGCCTCCAGGAACTGCCAGCGATTGTGGATTGGAGTCTGAGAACAACTTCTCCTGTCCATCCTTGCATTGCGGTGAGGAACTGAGGCCCAGACACACCCAGTAGGCAGACAAAGACGAGTCTGTCTCCCCACTGTCCCATTGCTCCCCACCCCAGACGGGCACATAGACCAGATGCCTGACAACACTCTGGGGGATACCTCAGACTTTTCTAATTTAGCAGCATTTTAGTTCATGTATGTGACAGTGCACAGAAAAAGCAAAAGGCATTCATGGGTTAAATCATACAACATGTTGTTAAACTACATTGAAAGTTCATTTCACTTGGATTAAAGCATGGTCTCCACCTGGGCCCCACGAGCCTCCTTCGGCCTTCTCTCTCCCGCCACCCCGACCTCTGCGCCGTCCCCACCTGCTAAGCACCCTCTGGCCACACCAGCCTTCCTGCCGCCCTGTGCACACAGTCCTGCTCCCTCCAGGGGGTCTGGTGCGTGGGGATGTCGGCACACACACCCTCCCTCTCCCTGTTCCATGGAGCACCCCATTCCCTGTTGCTCTCTCCACAAAGTCGATCCTCAAACAAAATGCTATAGAATTCACTTGTTTGCCAACTTATTTCTCTATCTTACCTGACTAGATCAAAGACAGATACTTTGTAGACTCTTTGCCTTACTGACTCCCCAGCACCTAGAACAGGGTCTGACACACAGTAGATGTGTAAAATATTTGTTGAGTGTTGTGGGAGGGGATGAAAGGTGAGACCAAAGAATGATGAAACCACGGAAGCAAAGTGGGAGCCCCAGGAGAGTGGGCGCTGGGCAGGGCACAGGTGGCCATGTGGTTGCTAGGCCTGCACCTAAACTCAGGGTACATCTTTCAGAACAAAATCACTGAGAACAGCATGGCATACTCACTCACCAACAGGTATCACTGTGGCAACAACACTAACAAGCAGCTTTAACACACAAGTGTTTTCCCAAATACTATGTTTCACTAAGTTAATCAAAAGATTTGTCTCTTATACTGAAAGATCTCTATTTTGAACTCAACACAGGAGCTGGCCATTTTTGAAGAAAGATCTTTAACATCAAAGCGAGGACAGGTAATAGTAAAGCAAATCCAGGCTCTGGAACACTTCTGTTTTCTGCGGGTTTTAGTCACCTTCAAATCCTCTAAAACACCACAGACTTAAGACAAGACCCTGGGGCTTTGTAGAAATGAGGACATTTTCTCTTCCTTGTCTGTCTATGTAGGCGATGCAGGCAGAGCCCACAGAGTCTGCGGGGGCCGGGGGGGTGTCACAAACAGCCCTTCCCCTTAGAGACACATACAATGTTTCCCAGTTGTTTTTTTAAAAAAATAGTCCTAGGCCACGCAACCTGCTCCAAAAAGCAAACCTCTGGATTCTGGTGGTAAAAAGAATGTCACCACTTCACCAAAACAAAGAATTAGAGAGTGTTATCCAATATTCCACTGTTTTGAACACCTACATCTAAACTTTGATCTGAATTGAGTTCATCCTCTCACCCTCACCTCTTGAACTACTTCCTTGAATCAGTGAGTTATGACACCTAGGAGAAATTTATATGTCAAAATATTCTCTTCCAGATCATAAGCTGGAGCACAGAAGTTCTAGAGGGTCAAGATTTTAAGGTGAAAGAAATGTACAGAATAACTACAAAGTAAGGGGGAAACAAGTGAGAATAATCAATAGAAGAAAGAAAAACAAACGTCGAGGAGAAGGAAAACAGGAGAATAAGAAGGAAAAAGAAGGAGGGGAAGCAAAAGAGTAAAAGGAAGCATGAAAACTCACAAAGGGCTGCCCACCGAGGGACGACACAGGCTGGGCTGTGCCCGGGAAGGGCCTCTGAGCACTGGGCCGCCAGGAGCCTGTGGGCAGGTGGGGGAGAAACCCGCCGGGCTCCAGTGTCCTCGGAGTGTGGACCCCTCACATGAACTACCAGGGCGCTGGCCTCCCACCCGTCCTCCCAGAGCCGGGGAGCTTTCAGAACTGCCTCTGTCAGCCCTGCCCCGCACACAGTCCTCTTCATCACCAGGACGGGTGTTTTCGGAGGGACCCAGAGAGAGCTCTCAAGAGCACATCTCAAACTGCCAACTCCTCCACCCATCTTTCCTAAGGATTAAGAAACTCAGTTTAGTTCAGTTCAACTGCTCAGTCATGTCCGACTCTTTGCCGCGCCATGGACTGCAGCACGCCAGGCTTCCCTGTCCATCACCAACTCCCAGAGCTTACTCAAACTCACGTCCTTCGAGTTGGTGAAGCCATCCAACTAGAAGTCTAAGAAACTAGACTGGTTTTAAAAAACATTACTATCTGAAGTAGAGTGGGAGAAAGAACATTCCTGACAAAAATTTAAATGCTCCATTAAAAAAAAAAGACAAAAACCTCACAAAAATTTCTGGGTGCTCCACAATTCCAAATATGCTTCAAAAACAATCTCTTTATCATCACAAATAAGTCAGTGACTTACAAAACAAGACACACCTGGATGAGGCTTACATTTGTAGAGAGGACAGGAAGAAAAAGGGTAGGATATGCCACTCTGCTAGGAATGGAAAATAAATCGAATACCCTTCAAAATGCAGAAAATATACCTTCTGAAAATGAACTAAGTAGTCTCTCAAAACTTTTACATTTTAATGAAAAATGTGCTTATATAAAATTACTAAATTATAGCTTCTTTAATGATCAATTTGATTCAAATCTAATCAATTTAATTGAAAGAAAATTCATTAAATTTCATTTAAATACCATGACTTATGATTAGCAGCCTAACCAATGGTAGATGTCTTTACTCTGGTATGCCATGTCCTTACACAAATGAAGATGGGGTTAAAAGTGTAAATTCCCTAGAAGGGGTCAACCCTGTATTCTGCTTATTTGATTATTTAATAGTCTGGATCTGCCCCTCATTGCCAACAAAGGATGTCCACACAGAGGCATTAGCCTGCATATATGAGGGGGCAATGCGAGCTGATTTAAAAAAAACGAAACAAAACTGAACATGGAGAATCATCTCCAGGAGACATGGTTTATCTGCTTGAGAGCATTTTATTCCTGAGTCAGGCGACAGGTTGAGAGATAAACATCATCAAACACCCCTTGGTCCTTACAGATTCTTGGCTTTTCCTCAAGTGAACACGATTAAATAGTCAGGACAAACCTGGAAATGAGTTGAGAATGCTCTTCACACTATATTTCATCCCACAGAAGCTCCTTTATTTAGAAGCTGTAGAAACACTTCTTTTGGATACTAGAGGACAGAAGAGTTGTCCTCCTGAGATTATTGCTTTTCATCTGACAGACACAGGGCATGACCCGGCTGTGTTCCCACTTCCCTTTCTACCTTAAACCTGAGGGATAAATATCAACCCCCTTTAAAAACTGCAAGTCCTTCTGAAATTCATTTCAGTATGCTGGTTCACCTCAGTGCTATACTCAATTCCTTTCAATTTAATCTATTTCCCTCTATCATCTTTTTGTACACCTCACATATTCATAAGCTGCTCAGATATCTTTTTGGAGCCAAGGTGGATTACCATTCTTTCAGCCAGCAAGTAAACACAGGTTTTAGGATTCCTATACAAAAAGTTTGTCACGTTTCTATCAGCTATCCTTCCACATTTTCCTCCAGGACTTTCTGTGCCCAAATTGCTTTTCTAAAATCAATCCTCTGTTCAATCTCTTGACCATTCACTTTTTTAAAGAAAGATAATGGACCTGGACTTCCCTGATGGTTCAGTGGTTAAGAATCCACTTGCTAATGCTGGGGACAGGAGTTCAATCCCTGGTTCAGGAAGATTCCACATTCCAAGGGACAACTAACTACACGAGCTGCAACGACTGAAGCCAGAGTGCCTAGAGGCCATGCTCCACAACAAGAGAAGCCACTGCAATGAGAAGCCCCAGAGCCACAACTAGAGAAAGTCTGCACATAGCAACAAGGACCCAGCCCAGCCACAAATAAATAAATAAAATTAAAATTTTAAAATAATTTATTGAAACAAAGAAAGAAAGGGACGTTCCTGGCTGTCCAGTGGCTAAGACTCCGTGCTCCCACTGCAGGTGGCCCTGGTTTGATCCTTGGTTGGGAAACTAAAGATCTCACATGTGGCAATGAAGATCCTACGTGCTGCAACTAAGACCAGGAACAGCCAAATAAATGTATATATATTTTTTAATTTTTTTAAAAGGAAGACAGTGGCCTTGATTTTCCAAAGATGCACCAAGAATGATCAAGTCACTCTTCACACCTTGACCCTGTTCTCCACGAATTCAAAACTAAAACCAAGTCTCTCTTTGTGTAAACCTATCAAGTAACCTTGGTGATGAGCCCCTAAAATGGTCCTTGGGTTCTTTCAGCACACACACAAGTCCATCAAACATAATACCTGCATTCATGTGCTGAGTAGATATTTTATTAATATTTATATATTTTCAAACAAAAAAATCTTCATTTATTCAATGTTTAAGTATATACTGGATCCAAAGGTCTTGAAATGTTGGGCGTCTACACAGAAGACAGGTAGTAGATACAGATCAGTTCCTAACCTAAATAATTCAAATGATAGAGGTATGAATAAAATGCCAGGAGGCTCCAGAAGAACCACCGTGGTGGGGGTGGGTTGCATCAAATAAGTAAAGGAAAATGAAGAGAGAAGATAAGGAGAAAAGATAACTCAAAAGGATCTATTCTTATTAACGTTTCTGCTACAAACTTCTGGAGCAAGCACATTGCCCTCAATTTCCTTTCCAGCCTGTCCTTCTAGGAGACTCCACTCTACAGACTTCAGGCGGTCAGCCTCAGCACCTCAGGCTCCTCTGTGGAAGCAACAGAAAGACACTGTAGGACCCGAAGCTCCCCAAGAACCCACAACCCCTGAGGCCCCACTGCAGCCTCAGCACCTAGACTCACACAGAGGGAGGTCCGTCTCTTCACCAGCAGACGAAGGTGGAGAAAGCCAGTTTCACAAAACGGATTGTGGGAAAACAGAAGTGCGGTCCCTGAGAAAGGCAGAAAAGGCAGCAGCATGAATCTGAATTAGCCTGCCATGTGGATTAGTGGGGCTTCCCCGGTGGCACTAGTGGTAAAGAATCCGCCTGCCAATGCGGGAGACAGGGGACCCCAGTTTGATCCTTGGGTTGGGAAGAGGGCAATGGAAACCCACTCCAATATTCTTGCCTGGAGAATCTCTCAAACAGAGGAGACTGGGGGATACGGTCCACAAGTTCACAAAGAGTCAGACACGACTGAAGTGCCTTAGCATGCTCACATGGGGATTAATAACCAGTGTAAAGAAGAGCCAAAAGACAAAAAGTCAAAGAAAAACCAAGCTGTCAATTTTCTAAGATAGAACCACAAGTCTTTCTTCTTCAGAAAGAAAAATAATCACGGAGTTCTTTTACTTTAAAACAAAGCTGAAAGGGACCACATGCTGCAAACAGCAATTTTAGCTGTGAAGTCACTACACAGATCACAGTCAAGTGCACTGGAAATAGTTTATCACTATTAATAATCACATTATCAATATTTTCAATTAATATCTATTTTTTAAAAAACATAGGGTCTATGCATGGTTTTCACTGTGTTACTGACATCCTCATTTGGCAGCTTACGACAGGGAGGGTGAACGGTCCCAGAATGAGAACGCCCTGCAGAATCCTGCAGAATTATAGTAGGAAAAGCTTAGGAAGGGCTATTAGACCATTTTGTACAAAACAGTTATTGGGCTCTTGGGTTTATTAACAGCTCAGCTGGAGAAAAATAAGTCACTACATTATACTATTTTCTACTTATCCTTATCTCCATCATCCTCTTTAAGAATACACATTTTAAAAGGAGACTAGTTGTTATATTAAAAATTGCTACTCTGGTATTTTGCAAGTTATATCGAATAACAAAGAAAAAATTAGTTTGTAAACTTCTTGGCCTCAGTTCCAACTATCATCTCTTACCAAACTAAAATTCATATTATCACTAATTAACTTTCTGTCTAGCATTCCTCCAGTTTACAAAAAAAATCAATAACATAAAATGTTTCATAACATTTTTAAACAGCCCTAAAATTTTAGAGGATAATATAAATGCTTCGGTTAAAGTTGAGAAGTTCACCCTAGGGATGAAAAAAATGAAAACATCACCCTAAACACTGGTGTAAACACAAGATATGAACAGCTGTTAAAATAACTCTCAATGAAATTGATTGATTCTACTGTAGCTACACCTAGCTATTTCCTAACCAGTAAGTAACTTCCAGAAAAACATCTACTTCTGCTTTATTGACTATGCCAAAGCCTTTGACTGTGTGGATCACAACAAACTGTGGAAAATTCTTAAAGAAATGGGAATATCAGACCACCTTACCTGCCTCCGAAGAAATCTGTATACATATGAAGAAGCAACAGTTAGAACTGGACATGGAACAACAGACTGGTTCCAAATTGGGAAAGGAGTATGTCAAGGCTGTATATTGTCACCCTGCTTATTTAACTTATATATGGAGTATATCATGTGAAATGCCAGGTTGGATGAAGCACAAGCTGGAATCAAGATTACCGGGANGAGATGGTTGGATGACACCATCGACTCAATGGACATGAGTTTGAGCAGGCTCTGGGAGCTGGTGATGGACAGGGAAGTCTGGCGTGCTGCATGCAGTCCATGGGGTCACAAAGAGTTGGACACGACTGAGCAACTGAACTGAACTGAAGTAACTTTTAACATAAACAAATAAAAATGTACTTAATAGGATAAATACTTTAAGTTATATAATTTTCCCTTTAAAACTAAATTGTTTCACATGCTCGTTTTTTTCAGGTGTTACATAAGCACCCTCTCATCTCTGAAGATCTACCTTGGCCCTTGATCAACTGTTCTCTGTACCACAAGAAAGGCAAAGCCCTATGTAGAACATGTTTCTTATGTCACACCTGTTGCTTGTGATTCGTTTCAGAGAGTACAGTCCATCAAGTAAACACTAAGCAGTGTTTCAGAAGCATCGGCCTTTAAAAGGGGGTACACAAGGTTGGGTGTAGGCACCCACTCAGTGCCTCAATGGAAAGAAAGAAGAAGCAAATGTATCATTTTGGGTTGAGGAGATAAACAGAGGCTGTGAGCAGTAGGCCCCCTCTGCAGATCTTTGGACAGTAGTCTGAAATAAAGTCACTGATGGTGTGAGCCACTGTTGGTTTTAAAGGGACTCATAAGGAATATAATGACTGCATTCTGGACGCTAATCTATGCTTTCACTCTTAGATAATTCTCAAAGTATCCCTATGCAGTAGGTGTTATCTCTACTACCATTTTACAGGTGCAGAAACCAAGGACAGAAGTTGGGAAACTTACCTAAGGTTACAAGCTGATACACAGCAGAGCCCAAGCTCCCTGGTCACACTCTTCACAGAGGTCCCAGCTAGGCTTTCACCCAACGTCTTTCTCTCAATAAGCCAATGGGAATAAAATACCAAATTCTTAACTCTAACACCACGCTATGATACCATTTAGGAAAATTTGATGAGGGAGAGATTTCTGAATTGTAATAATACCCTTCCATTTACTCTTCCCTGATGGATCAGATGTCAATATTCCTGATCAGTCCACCAAGAAGAAGCTGCGATTTATTAAGCCAAAATGAAAAAGGAAGCAAAGAGTAAGACAACCAAATTCCACAAAAACACTGTTATACAAATATGATTCTTAATTCAATACAATGAAGTGCTTTTCTAGGTTTGGGCTCCATAAAAAGTTGATGTAAATGTCATGCTACCTCCAAAGTACTTCGAAAATAACACAAAACACTTTAGGACAACACAAGGGACAAAAAGAAATAAAACAATCAAAAAGAAATATTTTTTAGAAAAATGTTACATCTCAACAGTGTACAAAATTTTTTAAATTACTTGAAATTTAGACTTAGTAGCATGTACAGCTTCATCTTGCCTCTGTCAACTATCTCTGAAGGCAAAGAAAAAACTAACAAAAGCTCAAAGAGAGTAGTAAGGGAAGAGGCAGGGAAGGAGGTGAGGTGGCTGCCACCTCTGAAGCCAAGAGACAGAGAGCTCCCTTCCGAGCTTTCAGCCCATACGGTGGGTGGCTTCCTTCCAGGTGGGGGCTTCAGCTGGGCCCCAAAGCAGTGGTTCTCAGACTCTGTGTACACAGTACTAACTGGATAGCTCTAGTTTCCCAGTCCCCATAACTATGAAGGATAGGGTGTAAGAATTTTCAATTTAACAAGCTTCCCAGTGATTTAGCCTGATTTATGTAAAGATTATAATCTAAGAAATACTTGGAAGAGAAACCCAGATTCACTACTCAGCAGGTGCCTCACAGACATTTGATGCTACTTTCAGAACATACACTCGTCCTGCGGGCCTACCTGTGTCAGCATCCTTAGGCTTGTGTTCTTCATCAGGAGGTTTAGACGGTGGCCAAGCAGCTGGGACTCTCCTGGGAAACTGCCCTTCGATATAATCCAGTGAGTGTGTGGGTTGACTAACTGCAGCCCAGGTGTAAAGTTGATCTTGCTATATTAAAAAAAAAAATTAAGCTATTTTAATTCAATCACAAAAAATGGAATCTTCTTGATTGATATTTGCAACATCATTTCTATCATAAATATATGTGTTGTAGGCATATATATAGATCCAAACATACATAAAACATGAAACAGCATTTTATACTATTCAACGTAGATTCATCACATAAACTTTCTTTCACACATTTTGTTTTCATAACCATACATGTTTCAACTTCTATGGTAAAATTTAAGTCTCCTTCTTTGGAGGCAAAAGGCCATGTGGGTCTGCAGAGAATTACAAGGTCAGAAAATCCACCCAATCACAGAGTCCCCTGACTAACCATCTTCAATTCACTGGAATATGATGTCCCTTTAAAATCTGTGTAAACACTTGTGGCAAAATCAGAGAACAGGCAGTGCTGAGCACTCAAGGACAATAAACAGCTTCCTCATCTTCAACAACAGAAAGCCCAGGAAACTAATTATCCTCAATCCAGGTCGGGAACAGTTTAGGAGAGGAACTATAAAAAAGTAAGTGAACTTGCCAAGAAAAAAAGAACTGGACAGGGATCTGGCAAAGAAAGCTCTTCCCAGCTGGAGACCAACAGAATCTGGACAGAATGAGAAGCAGGCTCATAGCTACATCTTGTGCCAGGAAGCCAAGTGGGAACCTTAGAAAGGAGGCCACTCTGAGGCTGTAGACCCCTTTGGAAACTGCCTGCTAAGATTTCAGGGTAACAGGTGCTTCAGGATGCAGGCACCAACGTACACAAGCCCTAGGTTCTCTTCATGACATCCTCCTTACTCACAGGTATGTTTCCCTAAACCTTTTGATCAACACAACAAATAAAGCAGGAGAGTAACTGAGTGGTAGAAACAAAAACAAAAAACATGGTGTAAACACTATGCTGAGACTGAACTTGAGTCAACCAATGGAGAGGCATTGCTATTTCCAAAAATTTGCTTCACAAGTTAATTGAAGAATTTCATAAAATATTCTTCAGGGTCAACAGTAAAATACAATGTATATATCAGTTAGTTTAAGCTTCACCTTTAGGGACAGTCACTGCCCGTATCCAAGAACTCAGATTCTCAGGTCTGAATCAGCAAGGGTCTCACTGTAGACCCTTCAGTCAGTCATATATTTCACGTACCTACATCTTGATTGACACCAGGTCTACTGAGTATCAGAAATAACTTTTTATTGGAAAAATGAGTGGTTTAATTAACATGATATAAGAAATGAGCTCTCATTGGTAGAAGTAAAGGAATCCAATGGACATGGACCAGCAAATCCCTGTCCAGGGATTAGACATCAGAGAATATCCTCATTCTGGCAAGAACAAGTGAGATGTGGGCAAGAGGCAATATCAAGGCTCAGTGTCCCCTTCACATCCAGAAAATGTGAGCCTCTCATGGAAGGAGCAGCCAAGCACCTGGCAGGGGGTCAAGTTGTATGTATCCTGAAAGGGGGCTCTGACTCAGAGAGCTACATCATCCTAACAACAAACCCACCCAGTCTCAGACTCCATTTGCTCCACAGAAAAGAGTCAGCGCCAGCAGCCATGGGGACAAGTGGTTTCACTCAGGATTTCAGCATTCAGCAAATACGAAGTTTGCTAAAAGCTCTCCATAAAAGCCTACATAAACCACAGACAGCCTAGCCAGTCCTGCAGTCTTTCAGTCCCACCCCAGGACTGGAACACATACAGACCTGTAAGGTGACAAAACCTCTCCTTCATCATACGGCTCCACAAGCAGGGAATAAGCAAGAACTAAGTTCTGTTGTAGTTCTTAAAGAATCAAATGTCAACTCTTCCACCTGTCCTTTTTCTAAAACCCTCCTATTCATCCTCCCAAGTTCATCTCCCCACATGTCCCCAATCAAGCTCCACTCCACTGGAATGCCCCAACCTAGCTTTCCCCAGGCACAGCATCTAACCAAAGATTAAGTCCCACTGGGGTCTCGCCCGACTCCCAAATCACAGCACGTCAGCCCCGCCTCTTATTGACAGTTAATAGCACGCAATCCAGGTCGTGGCTGAACCCGTTTCTGAGTACACTTCACCTTCCCTTAACCGCATGAACTACTTCAGCACAGGAAGTATGTACACAAATCCAGTAAAATTTCCAAGCACTCCATAAAAGCCACTTAATGTCTACTGAATTAACACATTCGTCAGATAAGAAGAAAAAGCAAAAGAGATGGTTTATCAACAAGAGAGCAGCTGGAGCTGTGATCTCATTTTTTTCATCTGCTTATTAACAAAAGTACCAGAGGGGTACTTTGTGTGCATTAAACAGAAAACAAAGGTGTCAAGTGATCCATTATATCTAAACCTATTCACAACTGTACCATGTAAAGAAAAACATAGAGCAGACAAAACTCCTAGGACAGAACCAGAACTGCACCCCTGACACATCTCCTAACTTTATACCTTCATGTTCTCACCAGTAACTCAGAAATAATGCCTGTTCCTGTCTTTCTGCAGGACTGGAGTAAGCAGGGCAAATGCTACATGAAAAGAGCAGTGTAAACCACATGGTGTAATTCAAACATAACTACCACAACAAGTACTTGCTTTGATTTCCTTTTTTAATTTTTATTTTTGGTACATTAAATTTACTCATGAAAAATTCTAAAAATGTGCAATTTTGCCTTTTTAACAAAGTATAATAAAACTCCCTAAACAATACTTGACATTTACAATTCAAAATCAAGTTAGCAGAATATTAAATATTTACAAAACTGTATCTTTTAAAGGGCTTCCCTGGTGGCTCAGACGGTGAAGAATTCGCCTGCAATGTGGGAGACCTGGGTTTGATCCCTGGATTAGGAAGATCCCTGGAGAAGAGAATGGCTACCCACTCCAGTATTCTGGCCTGGAGAATTCCATGGACTGTATAGTTCATGGGATTGCAAAGAGTCGGACGCAACTGAGCAACTTTCACTTTCACTATTTTTTAAAAAATATATTTTTTTAATTTTAATTGGAGGCCAATTACTTTACAATATTGTAGTGGGTTTTGCCATACATTGACATGAATCAGCCA